TGACTTTGATTATAGCACAAATAACGCATAAACATGGCCATTCCACTTGTTATGTTCATTAAGAATATATACTTTGTGGACTTATCTGTTCACACCTACTTTTATGCGTTGCAAATATGTGCCTTTTCGAAGACAGCTTTGTAATTAGTCTTAATTCATAACAAGTGTTCTGAAAGAAATGATGCTTATCGAACATTATCATTTGCTTTCGACAAATTCTGTGATGTGTCCGCTGTAGAACACCAAGTTTCATTGTTACTTCCCAAAGATCTGCGTTGTTTCAAACACATTCTGTCTATTGTTTAATTGATTGTAATCTCTAGTACTAAAACTAGGATCGAGGCATTTTGGTAGTCATTAGTAAACTTCAATATTTTTTTTTTTTATTTTTGACAACCAATCATCATTTATCAACCTTCTACTTGAAACACTTTCAGTGGTTAGTTAGGTAATCATTGCTAAAGTTTAATAATGCCGTTTTGTGACCACCAATTATTTTATAAACCTTCCGGAAAACTTTCGTTCAATTAGTGGGATAGAGTTCAAAGTAGACGACTATATACATTTGAAACAGCTAAATACTCTATCCTTCATCCTACGAATATGTCCACTTTCCGTCAGAGAAAAGCGTCCCAGACCATTTCCTACCTTTACCATATTTAATAGTTCATTGGGTGCAATCTGTTCTTATTATTATTCTATTCTGCTACTATCTGATCCAACGCTATAAATTTTACCTCATTTAATTAGCAAAGCTGACTCCTTCAGAAAATCTCGCAAAATTTAAACGGCTCTATTGAATCTGCTAACGTTTAAATTTTTCGTTAATTTTCTTCGCACTTTATTTATATAAAGCATTTAAACAGATCTTGCTTGCTTTTGCGGACAACGGCTTTGACAATGGATCTCTATATATCAATTTCTTTCTCGTTTGAATAAACAGAATTTTTTTCTTTCTTTGTTATTGCAATAATGTATTAAGCTTGTAAATAGTTTGTTACGTTTATAAATAATTTATTACGGCAAATTAGAAATAATTTTGATATTTTTTCTTTGAGAAGCTCAATACAAGTGAGAACTCACCTTAACTATAAACCAAATTACCGATTAACTTAAAGCACGAGGTAATGCAAATTTTAATCTATCATATCTATTCTCGGTAGTGTTTAAGGTCAATACGGGTGCACATTCCATGCCAAATTTTTTGATAGTAGAATACCATTGTATACTACTACTGAAGACTGTTGCTAACTGAAAGTATCTTTTTAGTTTGTGCTATTTATTTGTTTCTAGTTATACATACAGCATATATATGATATATACATCCGTACGACTTAGGCATATGTCGCTGAAGAATAAGCCCTTTATACAGGAAAAATGTTAGTCGAGCTTACATCGGTCTAGCTCAGCTGATTTTACGAAATTAAAAAGTTAGAAAAATGTAAAAATATAAAATTGACAGGAACACACTTGCTTATATTGTATGTCATATCCGATGTCCATTTTCTATTATCCTTTTACTGGTCGTCCTCTGTAATAAATCGTTCGTTAAATTTACAATCCGTCCCCACGCCACATACCTACCGTTAGCCTCCCTAACTTGACCGTTCCCTACTTTAGCAATCAATTGAGCGTAAAGCATTAGAAGAACAAAATATTAAAGACTGATTAACTGTTTATAAAAACATATTAAAAAGTTTAATTTACGTTGATCAAAATGTCTACGTATTACACCACAATTATCCAGACATACTATTGAATTTTTCAAATCCTCACAAAACTGCTCACGATCGCTATATATATGTACTTCTGTCATGGGTCAACTATCAATTAATTTCATTAAAACACAATGACGATTAAAATCAATTGGAAAAGTATATTCATAAAGATTAAGAATTTCAATCTAACTCTCGAGCGGCGATAGTTGCGACAAGTGCAATCAAGAAGGTTTATTGTGACGTCTACCAATGACAACATAAACGCTGACCTTTACGCGAGCGCGTTTAAGAAGTGACTGCGTAAATTAAAACTCGACTATCCTTCTGATTGCTCTACCCGATCTGTTGTGATTGACCCTCTTTTCTTTGCACTGTTTTGCTTTTGCAAAATGGCGCAAGGAATGTTGTACATAGCACATGTATATACTTGCATATTTGCCAAATCGGTCACTTTTAAAGTCATGTAATGAAAAAGGAAACCCTAAAAAATACGGACGCCCACTAGTTACGTGTATGCTACATACGTTATGCAATCCACCGTGTGTTTAGGTTGTCTTACATGAAATAATAACGTTAAACGGAAGATAAAAGTTGACACATAACATATACAAGATATTTTCACATCTTTTCATTGATCGTTTACAAAGAGTGCAAAGGAAGAGGCGCCAGAATTTTCAAATTGCAGACGGACTGTACTCCAAGATTTAACGCTTCTATTAACAATACCCTTACTTGTGACGGTGACCTGTAATTAAGGATTGTTGTAGTTCTTTGCATGTACTGATGAAAAGTTCTATAAAGTTGCAAATGTTTTGCAAACGATTCCTAGGCCAAATAGAAAACAAACAAATGATTAAAGTTAATTTAATGCAGAAAAATGAGTGAAAAACATTTTCGATATTCAAAATCTCAGCCTCGTTGTGATGTAAATGACTTAAAAATTTCTATTGTTTCCACAGCTTTTATCGCTTTAATTAGTTGCATATAATTTCTGCAAATTCAGCAATTGTAGAACATTTTTTTAAACTCAATTTCATAAGTCGTGAACAAAGAATTTACAAGAACATTAAAACGGGTAGCCATGTAAGGTACAGGAAGGTATTACTTAATGTATTTGTCTGTTTATTCTATTATATAGGAATATATATAGGAACATATATAATATATCCAATTCGCAAACAATAGAATATTTTTGTAATTTATTGAGGAATTGTTTAGCACGTTTGAGATATCTACGTCGCTTTGTTTGTTAATTCGCTGAAACTGACTCAAATGGATGTTTGCAGTTTCGCAAAATGACTGATTTGAAGTCAGGAAAACTACAATTGCGAGCTACTCAATTTTTGTTACCTCAAAAAACGTTTCGGCCGGGCAGTGAAGGACACTTAGAGGTTAGTGCGTACGAAATGGTTCGAAATTGGCCTTAGAATGAAGAGCACAAAAGACAACTAAAAAAGTCAAAAGCCAAAAATCCATTCCATCCATTGCGATCCATTTCGTACCCTTAAATTAAAAGAATTTAAAATGATAATAATATGGCAGGAGTTAAAATCGTGGAATTTCGTCCTTTTCAGGTTTAGAAATGCTGCCTTTAAGAAATCATAGGAGAATTTTTTCAGTTTATCAGGAGTAGTAATTCTAAACAACAGTAAAGCATCGAAGAAGTTATTTTGTATTTATCAGTTGAATCAGCTGGACTTAGTCTTCCACAACTTTTAAAGAACAAAGGCATTATTAAAAGGCGGTGTTTTATTTTAATTATCTAATTGGCTTACGATTTTTATAATAATATGTTAATAATATGGAAAAGACACGGCAAAATGATTTTTCATCAGGAACGTGATGATCCACCTATCCGTTCACGACTTAAGTAAAAGCTTCAGTCATTCAAAGAAGGAATTGTATTCTATCCTTCGCATTCTCTATGATTTATTGAAAATTATGGACGAATAACTCATCGGAAGAGAAAAAATATTAACTCTTGCAGCCAACAGTAACGATTTGTCCAGTTCTCTGCGTCAATGAATATCACAGATCCGTTCTACAGCGCATGTGTATTTACTATGGATTCCTTTTTTAGCTCTGGCTTAGTTGTGAGTGAGAGTTTTTGCAATTGACTTGCTTAAACCGAGGTAAATAATATGTGTCCGCCTGAGCCGCCTAGCAGACAAGAGTCTCGACTAGGAATGCAATGGTTGTGGGTTCAAATCTCAAGTACGGTAGCGTTTTTAATAAAGCCGAAATCCTTAGATGCTAGTACTTTAAGACCTTTTTTAGTCCTAAAATTTATTCTCTGGCTAAGTTTATAATAATAATAATATGTAACCGCCATTGTACACGCAATTCTTTGACAAATCCATTCTTTATTTCCATTTTCATATTCAAGTCTGGCAACATTTTAACGTTATATATTTCTTTGCCGTATATTTTTTTCATAAAGGAAAAATATATCCATAACATAATAATTTATAAGCACCATTGCTATCTAGTACTATGGTTATATACATAAAATGTATATAAAAGCAACATATATCAGCAAATATGCCAACAATAAAATAGAACCAAAAAAATTCATAAGCAGAGAACAACAATAATTTCAACAGCCATTGAATTGCAGACACAACATGCAAACAAGCCACAAAACTTTAAATATAATTAAACGAAGTTTAACACAACCCAAATGCTCTTTCATTCTTTCTATATCTTTCTCCTTATCGTTCTCTGCCTGTCTGATTCAGTTTCCATCTCTATCTCTTTCTAGTTGCTTTTAGTAATGCTAGTTGGATAAATATGGTTAGCCCGACTGAAGTAAGACTAGTTAAAAGAGTACAACTTATAGACTGCAAGAAAACTATATTTTTTATGCATGTGTGAGTTTTGCTGTGTTCAATAACGAGAATGCGTTTGGAAAAAAGAGTCTTTGGGCTGTGGTGAGTTAATCACATGAACTCAGTAAACTCAGTCAACATTTGGAATTTGGCAGCGTGTGAACGTGTGGAGAGTAATTTTGTGTGACGTCGCGTGCTGATAGATATGATTAACAAAAAATAAAACAAGAAGAAACGTTGGTTTATTCTTTTCACAAAAAGTTAAGGAACGAGCTTGAAAAAACATTATTAATAAAAAAAAAACGGTGTAATAAAATATTAAAGGAAACAATAACATAATAATTTATAACAAAATAAAAGCACCTTTATTAAAACAAGAAAAAAAGTCGCTAGAAAGTTTCTAAATAATATATTTATGCATATATATATATATACATATATATATATATATATATATATGTATATATATATGTATGTATATATATATATAAATCCTTATGTAAATTGTCTACCAACACTTAACCTGAAAGAACGAGTTTCCACAATGTAAATTAATCTCATCTCAATAGAACCTCGCGTTGCGTTTGTAAAAAAAGCATTTCACTTTGAATTTTTTCAAGTGATCACATTTATTATTGTCGTTAACGTCGTCATGTTAGTGCCGTCGGATATGATAGCGGCACAATCTAAAATGGTTTATCAAATGAATAAATATTGTGCCGATCGCGTGCAAGCACGTAAAACGCAGATCCATAAACAGATTTTAGAAGTGTGTCGCATCGTTCAGGACGTTTTAAAAGAGGTTGAGGTGCAGGAGCCTCGTTTCATTTCCTCTCTCAATGATTATAATGGCCGTTTTGAGGGTCTCGAAGTGATCTCACCCACAGAATTCGAAATCATTATCTACCTCAATCAGATGGGTGTCCTTAATTTTGTGGATGACGGTGCATTGCCCGGTTGTGCGGTACTCAAATTGAGTGATGGCCGTAAACGGTCCATGTCATTGTGGGTGGAATTTATTACCGCATCGGGCTATCTATCAGCACGAAAAATTCGTTCACGTTTTCAAACATTGGTAGCTCAAGCTTGTGATAAATGTGCCTATCGTGACGTAGTCAAAATGATTGCCGACACCACCGAGGTGAAATTACGAATTCGCGAACGTATTGTTGTACAGATAACGCCTGCCTTTAAATGCGCCGGGCTGTGGCCTCGTTCCGCGTCACATTGGCCTATACCCGCTATACCGTGGCCACATCCCAACATTGTAGCAGAAGTAAAGACTGAAGGTTTCGACATGCTATCCAAAGAATGTATAGCGTTACAGGGCAAAAATTCAGCCATGGAAGGTGATGCTTGGGTGTTAAGTTTCACAGATGCTGAAAATCGCTTACTACAAGGTGAGTGAAAAATGCCGTCGGCAATTAAAATTCGATACTATCCAAAGAAAATATGATTGCATTACAGTTTAAGTAGAATTTTAAAACAACAGCGCAGTTTTCAAGTTAAGGAAAATCATCACATAGTATCGAGTTTTCAATGAAAACTATCGATTACTTTACTTGAACGCAACTTGACCGTGGACCTTCAAGTTCCACATTAAAATTTTTCTTTATAAATTTTATGAACCCAAAAAGGTATCATAGATCGTAAGATTGAAAAGTCGAACAACCTAAATATTCGAGAGAGTTGTTTAAAATTTGACTTTGTTAAAAAACTTTCTCTTTCTTTTTATTAGCTCATTTTTAAATATCTAAGTTCATTGGGAGCTCTACATTAGTGTTTGAAAATTTAGATGCATGAAAGTTCTTAAAAACTAATTTCATTAAAGAAACTTCTCATTTGCGCACATAATATTTTACGTTTTAAGTTGATTAATTATTCATTTAACATCTAATCCGTAAAAATTCTTAACATTATTTTTATGTTAGGGTTTGTATTATAGAAGTAAAACATGATAAACGATATATCAAAAATTTGTAATATTTCTTTTTCTTCTCCCCCATATTTTTCTTTTTTGCAACTTGAAAACTTGCGGAGTTGCGTAACATTTAATGTGAAGCAATTTTTACACCCACCATCGAAATACGTTCGCAACATCCAGATGAAAGCTTCACAGCATGGAAATCTGCCGCGCCCACCCAATTTTATGGAATATGAAAATTTACTTCTTTTCCTTTATTTAATTTTTTTTTAGGATAGTGATGATAGGTATAAAAGGCGGAAGTGCTCTTAATATATGTTGAGATCTAGGCGTGGCTTTCGACCGATTTGACCTATTGTCAACGATTTGCGGACAATAATTTGCGACCAGGATGATGTTTACAAGAAGCAAATAAATAGACGGAAAGACAGACATGCTTAGATGCATTCCGAATTTGAAAGTGCCATGGTTTGAGGCCTCTAAAATATTGTTGTGTGCCTGGGCCCAAATCATGCTCTGACGAGCTATCTGATGTTATTTCAACGATTGTTAATTCTTCCTTGAAATCAGGTGTTTTCCTTTTGTGTTTGAAGAGTAGTGTCCTTATTCTGCTTCACAAATATGGAGAAATACATTAAGTTGAGAAGTATAGAGGTATTGCCAAGTTGAGCGTTTTACCTAAATTGTTTGAGCGAATTGTTATTCAGCATTTAGCTTTTGTAATCAAATGTTATATATCTTCATTCCAGCATGGCTTTCTAATAGGAAGATCAACCGTTACGAATCTCTTAGAATTTACTTTCCATGTTTTCAAGGCTTTTTCTAGTGGATCTTGCATGGATGTCATATATTCTGATTTTAGTAAAACATTTCACTTAGTTAACCACAACTTGATGACCGTCCAATTCCAGGCCTCTGGCTTCTCTTTACACTTAATGGATAAGCTCTTATCTTCGTAACAGATCAATCAGCATTCTGTTTAATTTCATCACCTCGGCTAGATTTTCACTTAGGGTCCCTTTTATTTATTGTACGCAATAGTGATCTCCTCTCGGTGATTAAATCCAGCCATATCTTAATGTACGTTGATGATGTTAAACTGTTTTTTTCCTCCGTTTTGGAATTGTAATTGTATCAGCTTAAAATTAACTTAAATAATACGGTTACTTGTTATGAAATTGAATTTTTTAAAAAATGCAAGAAACTTTTTTACTCAAAAAGGAGCTCATTCAATATTGAATATTTCATTGATTTGCACAAGTTGGAAAAAGTAGATTCGTTCACCGGTTTACAGTTTCTATTTGGCCAAAGAATACGTTTTAATTTGCACATTGAGCTCTCTTTAAGTAAAGCTAGGTTTCATTAAGGGGACGCATAAAAATCTTAAGGAGGCTTACGTTACCAAAAGATTATATATGTGCTTAGTTAGATCAATACTTAAGCATGCCTCTGTTGTGTGGTGTCGTTTCTATAGGTGATATTAGTTCAAAAGCAATTCTTTCTGTTTGTCCTAAGGAATTTGGGTTGGGATCTCGTTGTCTCTCTACCTCTTTATCAATTGAGAAAGGAACACTTATTGTTGATGTTTCCTTCTTAATTAATTTAATAAATGGTTCTATCAATTCATCCAAGTTACTTAGTGAGATACACTTTAATGTCCCTAATTGCTTCTCTAGGCACTTTATCCTCATTAAGCTTAGTCAACGTAAATATAATTATGAGCTGTTCAATCCGCGCGAATTGCCTGCGTTGCACTTAAATTAACTTGCAATCCTAACATATCACTATGAATCGAAAATTAACTGGTGTTCTTTACTGTTATTGGTTGCCAAGCTTTTGCATGTTTGCAATAGCTTAGAGGTTCACTAGCAACTTCGATCCGTAGCGGTTGTAGGAGTGCCTCTGCACTAGTTGTGTACATGCTTTTTTTCTTTCTTATTTATTTACACATGAATTACTTTTTTTTATTTTTTTCCTTATATACTTTGTATTAGTTTTTAATATTAATTAATATAAGTTTTACTTCTAAGAGTCAACTGAATTCGACTGTTAATTTATTTTAGCTGGCTTTCATGTGTAACTAAATAAATAATGTGTATGTTTTATAAGGTTTTTAAAGTTTGCTCCCGCGCTTTATGATGATATTGAAAGAAAATTCTTTTTTGATATGCCATTATACTGGCTAAGTTTGGTTAATTTTCCCATTTTTGTTCAGGTACTACAGCATCGCCCATAGTACATACGTTATCTGGTGTAATTTATAAGTAACGAGCAAGAAACGAATTTCTTATTTCTTTTGAAAAACAAAGGTGTTCTCAGTTTACATACCACTGTAGGTGCGTCTTTCGGCCCGTTATTCAGCCTGATTACAAGAATTTCAAAAGTTTCTGCCAAATTGGAAGTCGATAGGTTTTATTGATATTAGTGATACTTATGGTCGATCGAAATGTAAAGCTTCCTAGAGTTTAAAAGCTCTGAAAAGACGCATCTGCTTACTTATGGGATTCTCACTGTGTGTGATGCCTGTCGCTTTGTGAATTTGAGATCTGTTTTTTGAAACGTAGAAATTTCATTTGTTAAAAATATAAATAAATTTTGTGCACGTAATGAATCTTAATCAAGGCATTTTTATAATAAAATAACTTCTCCTTAATATACGGAACGCTGTACTTGTAAGAAAAAAATAAAAATGCTTAAAAATGGAATGTAAGCTAATTGAGAAGTGGGCGCCACTTATAATGTGGCTATTTTAAATAATCTAAGTATTTTGCTTATAAAGGCAGCACTCTTTTAAAGTGTTGACACAAGAACGCTCCCATATATTTGTGTTACCATCCACATATTCCTTTCGTCAGTAAAATCTCGATGTGATCTTAATCAATATAATATTTAAAACCGATATAGTTATATTAGCAACTCCCTATATTAGAAAACCAGAGAAAATCATAGAAAATCAAAAAATATTGTCACAGTAAGTTAAACGCACTAATCACTGAAATTCGTAGATCACATATCGTAAAACAGAATAACTATTTACTTTTACTAGATAGGTAACGTGGTGTTCTAATTTTCGAGATGAATTGCTATATGTTGTATTATGAATAAGAGATTAAATGCTTTTGTAAACATTTAAAATTCCGCTCTTCTTTTTTTTAATATTTGGTTCAGATGGGTATATGAGATTAATTGGAAGACTTAATTTTTATAATTACTTAAATCTCTTGGACCAGTTAAAACAAAAAATAAATTAATAAGCAATAATATAATGTAATTAGTTAATCAAAAACCAAAAACCTTTTCTCACGCTACATTGCGTAAGGTAAAGTTAGAAAAATATTTACATAAAAAAAAAATAAAAGCTTTGTTCAATAAATGATTATCAATCTGTATTCGAAACGTTTTCAATCTCATCTTTATCCTTTCCATAAAATTTTTGTTCATTGAGATAAAGTTAAATTTATCTACTCTCGAATAATGACGGTGTATTAAATTTTATATTCCGTTTGGAAGAATATATGAAACTTAAAGCGAATAAACGCGCAGACATTTACCAATTTTAGAAGCTTGCATATGTCAAAATAAAGAACATCTGAAAAAATATGATTTCATTATATTTTTATGCACTAATTAATAAATCTATGTAAAACTTTGTGCAAATAGTTATCAGATTCAGAAGCAAGTTCATAGTAAAAATAGTTCTAATCGGCCTTCACACAGCACAAAGGCTTGCATTTCTTATTGTTTTAGTTAAGAAGGCGAGTGTCTATTGTGGCCTTTAAGGTAAACATAAATTTTTTTTATCGAAATTTCGTAACTGCCCGCAGACGCGTTCAAAGATTGTCTTTACTTATAGATAGCGTATGAAAAACTTGTTCGGCTTCGACGTCTGTCAACGTTAACATCTTTGTACATGCCCCGTATAATTATAATCTCGCGATGGTGTGGGATTTTCTGTTTGTTGTTTTTCTTGGTTTCTATTTCTTGCTTTTTATTTCTATTAATACTATTATTATTTATTGTTCATTATATTATCCTTCGCTTCAATTCATTCGGTTTTGGTCCGAAATTAATTTATTTGAATTTTATTTTTCTTGTTAAAATATTAGATCGAATCTCTTACGCTACGTCTTGTTTACATATTTAGTTTTCGCTTTTATTTGGATTTTCGTCTATCTTGATTAATTTTATATTTACAGCATTTTATTTCACTTTACATCAGCAAACAGAGATTTATATAATTCATTCCATTTAATATTAAATATCAAGTTGTGAACAGGTTTCAATAAATTACAACAAAGTTTGAGCAGCTAATAGGAGAAAATATTTATGAATATTTTATAACGATGGATCAAAAGGTAAAATTGTTACAATAAAATTAAAAAAAAAATAAATAAAGGAAAATTGGACGATTTTGATCGCTTCATAACAGGTTGAACAGTAATATCCAGATGTAAGTTTTACATTTTGTAATGAGAAAATAATAAAGATAGTAATGAATTGGGAGCAAAAACGGCTGAGGTAAACTTTTTATGCATAGTCTCGCAAACAAAAGCGGTTGTTTTCAGAAGCAAAAGCTTTGTTTGATCTAGAAGTATTATTAAATTCTGATTTACGCTTGTCAACGAAAAATTGTTTTTCTTAAATGTCTCTCATTATACGATAACCAATGAGCTGATTACTTGCAGACTGAGTTCGGTGAAATGATTTTACGTTTAAGATATCTTTTTTCACATCGTTTTTTCCATAAAATATGAGATGTGAAAATTTTTGCGACATTTAAGCAAAGTAATATTACTCTTTCCAGCAATTTTATAAAAATATTCTTTAAATTTCAAAAGCAAGAACGAAACTAAATATGACTAATATTAGGTTAGGTTGTTTTGAATCAATTAGTCTTCTTCGGGGCTGTTACGCATTTTTTACTTTAATGCCATTAGCTTGAATAAAATAAATGAAAAAGTAACATTCGTCTGGAGATTGGTAAACACCCTAATAACAAAAGACGTAAAAGTTTTAAACCGTTTTATTAATAAACGACATATAAGAACTTCTTAAATACGCCATCGAATTAGCGCCTTAGACATGCCATTCTCTTCATTACACCCAGAACTACCTTATGAATTATATATATTTTTAACAAATATAACACTGCGAGCTAGTCTGTCTAGTCGCCTATGTATTTCTCGATCGTTAGTTATCGAAACAGTTAAAACTTAACCGTTGAACTAGAAACCTACAAGCATTAACACTTTCTTAAAAGCCACTTAAATGAGCGTCGTTGTCGTGCAAACATGTAATTAAACAAGTAGTACAATTAATGAGTTTCAAATCCAAATAATGATAATATTCACCTAGAACTTCGGTGAGAACATATATGTGATCCGTCCATGGTCCGTCCGACTAACACGCCCACACTTAGTAGAATATTTTTCATTTCTTCTATATGGCTATAGGGTAAAGTAAATGTAATAGGAATAGTGTACATGGATGCAATATATATTTGTACCAAATTTTAATTTAATATCCGTTGCAGTTACAGTTTGTTGTCCGCAGTCAACATATTTTTAAGCCGGCCGACCCCACAATTCCAGCAAAATTTTAACTACGTTAGCAATCATATTTTCTTAAGCTTAGATTAATATCTGCCATAGACCAATCGTAATTTTCTATTATTGTAGATGTGTGATGGTCTGATTGCTCCCGTTTTCAAACACAATCCGTATTCATCGATTTCTATTGTGATGAAAGTTACAAACAATATATATGCTACATCTAGTATATATGCACCCTTCGGTGAATAGTGTAAGAATCAAACAAAAAATAGCATTTAAAAAGTTCGCTTTAATTTTCAAATGTAATCTCGTTTATATTCGCTCTTTATTTACATCCATCGATAAGTTATTTGGTATGTAAAGGATTCTTAAAATCAATCTGTTCTTTGTTAATCAAAATAATTGTGCATTAAACCTAACTTACCTCCTTGGATGAGTCGACAAGCAAAGACCGGAGCCAAGAATGCAAGAGGCGTAATGATTGTTAAAGTGAATGTATAGAGGTGCTGTTCTTAAAAGAGGGTTAATATATTTAACTTGTCTATTTAATACTACAGAATAATTTTGATCAAAATAAAGACATGGAGATTCAATTGTGCTAATTGAAAAGTTTGTTTAGCTACACCGCTAAGATGGTTAGTGCAATATATAATCTATTTAAAGACTGGTTCTTCACCTGAAAAAATGTAAGGTATAATATGAAATAGAGCTGTCAGTCAAAAAAGTTGCAAAGTCTGTGAATGATTCTTCAAAGGCTTTTAGAAATTCAAGTTGAGAATAACAAAAAAAAAAAAATTGCGCTAAGCTATTCTAAATAATACAAAAAGAAGTAAAAACACTACAGTGGAACACGGTTCACTATTAAATACCCTACATTAGTTCGCATAATACAATTATTTATGTAACGAATCTTCAAAATAAGGCTTTGTGTGGGGGATGACTGGAAAACTGGTGTGATCTGCACTATTCTCAGTAGCGCCCGTCCTTGAGCCAAAATAAGTGGATGTATCGAATTTCATCAAAATATATCAAAAATTTCGACCTGTGACTTGAACATAAGAAACCAAGACAGGCAGACGGACTGGCAATAGTAATAGTACTTCAGCATACTAAATTAGGGTGAAAAATTTTGATCGGATAGACCGATTTTTTGGCCCCCTCTCCATGTATGCGTTCCAACGAGAACCTTCTATGATATAGCAATTTAACATGACAATTCACTGTACCAAACTAAGTAGGCCCATCGTCTATTTCTTGGATTCCATACCATATAAGGGTTCAAATGAAAAGTCAACAAGAGCTAATATTTCGTACTTCACAGCGAAAATGAATGATCTTTAATATGCAAATCATATTTATTAAATTTGAACTACGTAGTTCATGTCAAACGAGTGTCGTCGAAGGTATGTCGTGAGATGGAAATCCAGTATAATTTTTAATATTTTATCACCGAAATAAATGAAGAATGGTAGTAGGCGCGCAAATAAGTTCTATATTTTAAGAGAGATCAATATTTGTATGGCGTAAGTCTCAGTTATTTACAAGCTGTCGTTTAGTGTATATCAAGGGGGAAAGTAATGGAGCAGCAGTTCCGATACTGCATATCATTCTTTTTTAAAATGAAAGAAAATACGCATGAAGCTACGAAAATAATTAAGTTGCCTTGAGATGAAAATTCAGTAGTAGAAAAAATTCTAGCCTTGAGCACAACGAACGTTCGCATAAGTTTATCCGTACGTAGCAAAACAACGCCGAAAGTGTTCTTTAATTTTTGCTGAGAACTTCCCGAATCGATAGGATTATATTTAACTGGGACAGATTAGAATAGTTGAAACTAAAGCATGAAATTTTTTCAGCGAGGACGTCCGTAAACTACCCAATAAGACGCAAAAACCATAGATCGTTAAGGTCAACATTTCGATTAGTAGACTTTGTGATAAGTATTTATTAAACATCTAATGGAAAAATCGCATATTTATTTTGGTTTTTCGTTTACCTGTGCTTAAACACCTAATTCTTTCGACAAATTATAAAATATGCAATGCCCCGCAAAGCTACTTTCTGTAGTTATTACAAAATGTCACAAATCGACCCGAATTTGATTTAGCTAAAGGAGAACGATTTGAACTAATAGCAACCGATATGTAATGGTCTACTTCGGCAGCGATTGAAGTATATGGAAGGCTCTGTATAATATAATAGAAGAAATAAAATCAATTGTACCTTTTCAAAATTGGAGCTTTGTATTTATTCTCTCCTTTTGACTATTTGCTTAGAGTTATTCTCTCAATAAAAATTCCAAATGTACGTTCTCGAACAAGAAAAAAGTTTTAAAAAACTTCGTATTTTGATGACATACGTTAATCTTACTCATTTCCAAAGCTTTGCAAAGCACAATTTTATAAACTTTCACAATTTATTTCCATTAAATTAGCTGCGAAATAAAGTCTTATATTCCTCCCCAGCTCGTCTTTCGGATCTTGAAAAACTTGCGTGACTTTGAAAAGTTGGAATTCTCGATAAAGGTGCTTACCACAATTTATTGGAACATTAAAAGGCGGCAACTCCATTACATTATTCCTATTGTATTATAAATGTCTAACAATAATTACAACTGATACGATTCTAATTCATAATGCGGTTTAAAATTTATGATTTTAACTATATACATGGACGTAATTTTCACTATTCAGCCTACCGATCTCATACGTGTCAGATTGAATTTATTGCAGGCATCGAAATGTTGATTTTGTTATATGTAATCTAAAATCCGTTACTACGGGCTTAACTCGTATAGTAGAAGGTAACAGTTTCAGTAGCGACATTAAAACGCTAAAAAGTTACATTTAGCCATCATATTGTAGTCACTGAAAGTGCTTATAAAATATTTTTTATTCTTTATATGTGTGAATGTGTGCCTCGACTGCACTACAAGACTCTTGCATTGAGTGTTTTCTACGACATTTCGAATTTCTTAAGCATTCAAGTAAACAAAATATAAAATTTCTTTATTCCTTTTTTTATTCTTTACATTTGCAGGAGCTAGTCGTCGTCGTTGCTTAAGTATATTAAAGACACTAAGGGATCGCCATTTAGATTTACCCGGTAATCCGGTTACTTCGTATCATTTGAAGACTCTACTTCTGTACGAATGTGAAAAACATCCACGAGAGCAAGAATGGGAAGAGAATTGTATAGCCGATCGTATTAATGGCATATTTTTACAGTTAATATCATGCCTACAGTGCCGACGATGTCCGCATTATTTTTTACCAAATATGGATTTATTTAAAGGCAAGTCCCCGGGAGCTTTAGAGAATGCAGCCAAACAAGTGTGGCGTTTGACACGAATTATGTTAACAAATGCCAGATGCTTAGAAGAGTTGTAAATGTGAGCACAATGGCAAACAAATACAAAGCTACGGTGTTTATTAGACTATAGCAATAATAAAAAAAGGCTTATTTATTAAAGTTTTAAAATAAGATATGCTTTGGCTAAAAGAAAACGCACACACACACACACTAATATAAATATATATATATATGTATACATACATATGTATAAATCTATACATACCGCCAGTGCAAGTAGATAAAGGACGACTATTAAAGAAACGCACTACTGCAGGAAAATTATGTTGGCCTTAAAGCGGACCTTATATACCCATTACCTAAGGAGAAAATATTTTGTAAATCGTGTGTTTCTGTAAAACGGTTAAGAACGGTTTATTAAAGCTCTAATTGACCCTTTCAAATTGATACTTGCTGTAGATTAGCAACAACTTTGAACATTTTTATTTTTTGTAAAAAATTTCCTTTTTGCGTATTCGTGAATGGACTAAACTTATTTCCAAATTGATGCTATTAGAATAAGCGAAGAAAATGTATGCAAAGTGTCAGCGTTTTATCGAAATTTTTACTATTTACAAAACTGCAACCTTGAAGGGACAAAGTGGGACAAATATGGCCACATTGATTTAGAATCAACACAAGCACACATGCATACATACTATGAGGTCTCTCTGATACGTAGGCATGAGTGTTACAAAGGGCGTAACATGTTAAACACATCTTCATTGTTCAGTAATGTAGATAAAAAATTGCAAGAAAAAGCTAAAATTACTTTTAAGCCAAAAACTATTGTTAGTTGTAAAAACAGATAAAAATAATTCAGATTCCTATTGTATTTAGGGTGCTTTTTTTAGTAACGTAAGTAGGTTATGCGTACGGAAACGAAAATTTTTGTGTTAAGGAAAAAGTGTTTTCTTTTTAATTTGTTGCAAACTGCTTGAGACTCTTGTATGATATTATAATATTAGAAAATTGTATTCAACTATAATTATTTAATTACTTTTAATACAAAAGTAAAAAAAAAATGTATAAATATATAGATATATGGAAAGATAAATAAAATTTGCTATCACAACATTGCGTCTTTTTTTCTACTTTTAATGCATTTTACATTGGTATGCTCCTGAAAGGAAACTGAAAATTGAATATGAATAACAAAAAAAAGAAAATTAGTAATAAACAAACTAGCAAATAAATAAGAAATTATGGTTATGCTAAGGCATATTTTGACAAGCCACCATCTCAAGCAACCAGCTGTCTGACTTTTTGAATGTGCGACTTGGCCGTTTGTTATTATTTTGGATCTCAGTCAGAATTTAGATGAATCAGCTTTATATTATCGTAAACATTTTAAAATTTTCAGCTTTTTTTTAGCTAAAGGCGTATTTGCGAATGCATCATAATCTTTTTTACACTTAATCGGAACTCCTCAAGCCAGAACATAGGCCAAAACTTAATTTAAAAAAATAATAGTGATAAGTTTAAAGGTACACCATTCAATGTAAACGATCCTGTCAAGTCGGAGATTGTTAATTTTGGGAACGCCAGTGAATGAAAACTGTCAATTTTTGCACTGGACTTAGAGGAATAAATATTTGCTTGTGCTATGAAAAAAAAAAAGAAAAATAGCGCATCAATTACTCTTGGATTAGAAAGAATAAATCTTGTTTTTGAAAAGCATCAACGTTCAAACAAGCTTTGTTAAATCGCTTATTTGCTTATAAGTTAGAGGAATGTAAAAATTTGCATTTCATGCGTTGATTGAAGAATTTTTTGATGAAAGAAATACCTTTGAAACTAACTAACCGTTGCAATAAATTGATTGATATATATATATATATATATTGCTACTCTTCTCCGCCAACAACAAAAAGACCGAACGGACACCGATGATGCACTAAAGGCCTAAAAGGTGTGGTTACACTAGAAAAGATGACCGCCTAAAAATAATTCTCGATAATGAAAATGAAAATCGTTTCATAAAAAAAAGATTGACGCGGTAGAGAAACATTGGATTGATCGTATCACTCTTTAAAGAGAGTGTATGTTATTGAATAAAGCCTAACTTTGGAAAAAAAAAAAACAGAAATAATAAATATCCTTTCTTAGTTTGTCCCGGAAATTATTGACCAATGTTTTATAAATAATAATTTATAGTCACTTAATCATCGTCCAACACAAACATTAACAACCACTTCTCTGTTATTTTAGGCTGTTTCGCATAAATACACTTATTTATAGGCTTATGCCGTACGCATCATCGTTGTCATGTATGCGGCATTTAAATTATTCAATAATCCATTCCAAACGACAGTTAACATTGCTCGTAAACAACGGTAACAATGGGTTTTGTACATTAAAACAAGGCTTTTAACGTTTGTAGAAAGTTAATATGGATTAATTTTTTTATATTTTTGTTCTTTTTTTTAAAAATGTACGCATAAAAAGGCATTCAAGACGTTCAAATTCAAGGTGTATAACGAGATATGTTGATAGCTTCTTTAGTAACAATTAAAACAATTATATATATCTCTCGCAAATTTTTTGCCGCATAGCCTTAATTATATGCTAGAAAATATTTGAAAGCATGTCTTTGGGGCTCACTGTTTAGCAACAGGGGGACCGAGATGCTGAAGGCACGGGAAGAACGGATTGTCATTGGCAGCAATATGGAGAACAACGACAAACAAAAAGATTCATAAAATCTTCCGGTGTAGCAAACAAACTACTGCAATTGGGAAGGAGCGAACTACGCTTGGACGCAGGCCTCCATATGGGTCATAATTCCCCCATGTACAGCATGGAAAACATGGATATCTCCGACACCGGTTCGTGTAGATTCTGCCAAGGGACGAGTGAAACGTTGTATCATATTCTATATGAATGTCAGGCCACCTGCACAATCAAGCATTAAGTGTTTTGCGAGTACTTTAGAACGCCGGACACGATGTGGTGCTCTGAACCAAAGAAGATAAAGGGGACTATGAAAATTCTACAACTGGACGGTTAGTGGCACGGACGAGCACTACTGGCGTTTTAGGTCGTCACACGTATTTCCAACCTTACTGATAATAATAATAGGGTTACTTTAAGAGAACCACTTGAAAGATGTATCACATTACGGATTCACTATCTGCTGGCCGAAGTCATCACCAAGGAAATAGAGAAGAAACCTTTGAGACCTACATCGTTGATTTGGTTACAGAAGCCGAGTTTTAAAAAGTCCTTATATATAATGCCTAAACAGTAACATTTGGAAGTTTGATACTTATGCGAGCTATGGAAAATGTCTTTGTGTAAGAGAAATATTAATCGATTGACTGCGCGAATATTAGTGATATTGATTATTTCATATGCATGCATTTCATTTATTCCGCCTATATTTATATACCATAATAAAATTGATAAATTTTACAAATCTTGTTAAGATCGACATTCAAGACGTACATATTGTATGGGTCTTTGTTCTTGATTAAACTCAGAGCCGATTTGCTGTCAGGGAAAACTACAAATTTTTTCAGTTTATTTTCAGATGCAAGAAGGAATGCCTGTCCGATGGCCAGAAGTTCAATGAACGTAAATGATAGTTCTTGTAGGACTTTGAATTTTCCTAAAAGTAAATTTGAGTATTCTATAATTGAGAAACTGATATTTTTGAAAACAAGTGGATGAATTGATAACAGACAAAGTCAGAAATGATTAAGAATACAAAAATTTCTCAGTATTTGTGGGGTGTTTCAATTACTTAAGTGTTGTGGATGAAATGCATTATTACTAACTTTGATCGCAAATATCAATTCGAATTATATTTAGCGGTTTGAGTCTATATGATTTGTCTATATCTTTGATTTGCGACAAATTTTATAAATCCGCGCACCAAGTAAGAGGCACAAAAGAAAGGGATATATCCTAAAAAAAAAAAAAATGCTTTTCACTATTCAAGAAATTTTAATACGTTCTGACCACAAACTCTTTGATTATTCTAATTTAATCTTGGTGAATGGCTATAGATTACCCATAACTAATACTGTTATCAATTCATGTCGATGAAAGCATTTTTTATAAAAAATCACAAGAGGCTCTAAATATTGTCAGAAACTATAATATGTCTGCTTACCTTAAACTTCTGAAACACGCCTACTCGTTCATATATGTAACTTTTTCTGAAAAGCTATAAACAAATTCTTTTTAAATTTGCGCAGGTTTTTCCCTTCGCGTCGTCTTCCTTGTGTTTACTTTTCCAAACCATCCCGTAGATATGTCTAAAAAATGTAAATTTAACCTTTACTGTAAAGGCGGTCTCAAGCAATTTACACTTAAACAAACTGAAAACTTTAAGTCGTTTTCCCTCTTCCGTAAATGGCTCATGCGCTCAATGGATCGCATAAACGAAATGAAAGAAGTTGTATTCGGTAAATGACCTAAGGCTGTAGTAGGTATATCAAATTCACGTTTACAGATACACCACAAGGAAGAAGAAATAAAAATTAATGAGGTATAATAAAAAAAAAAAAAATCCAAACAAACAAGAGCAGCAAAGCAATGATGATGAATTAAATCAATGTTAGTCAGGTTCCCCAAAATCAAGGCCATAGCAGCTTTGCTCATTTTCAAGTACGCCTTGCTTGCTAGACATTAAATTAATATTTACTTTTTTCTGCGTTGACAGAAAAGTAAAGAAAAGAAAGACAAGAAATGAATCGAACCCTATAATCATGTACTCTGGCGTTGACAGCATAAGGGGCACCTAATTACACCTTGTTGTTGGCCCGATGATGTATCGGCCACACAAGTGGTGGTTTAGTTGCTCTTTATACAAAAACATATAAAGCAATGAAGGTAGGTAGCAGCTAAATGCATTCATGCTGAGGTTTGCAGAGAATTATGCAGTACAACTTGTTAACAATATTATGCCACGTCTTAAGCGCCATTTATAGAGAAAAAATTTTGACATAAGTTTTGCTTTTATTTTTCAATTGCCTACAAATGGGGCAACATTTACAAAAATAGAATGTTAGAATCTCTTTCGAGATTTAAAAAATACTGATTTCGGCGTTGCGTTTTCAATGAACAGATGTTATGCGTCATCAAACGGCTTAACGTCAAATAATACGGTGATTCTGGTCAACGTGGAAGTTTAGATCGAGTTAAACGTCCGCGCTT